AGCTACTCGTATATTAAATGATCCGAATAAATCCTACATCATACTCCATCCCATATGGTACGTATATATCGAATTTCATATACATTGGTTAAGCCGCTAAGGCGCTGTGAGATCTCCCACTCAAGTATTGTGTACATGCCAAATTTGACAACAATTAGTTGAGCGGTTAAGGTACCAAGCGGTTTAATAAACAAACTTAACATTCGTACTAATATTATAGATGTGAAAGTGAGTTTGTTTGTAACTTTATAGCGTCTTAACAGCTTAACTAATCACTATGAAATTTGGTATACACGTATTATATGGAATGGAGAAGGGCATGGACTTTTCAAACTAGACACACGGACAAAACCGCGAGTAAAAGTTATCAGTTTAGATTAATACGCGATTGAAGGGCATCGAACGCCAGCCGACTAGCAAACAGGGGCTACATTTGACGGTGCGATGTTCAAATTGCCGCGACAAAGGGATTAATAGCGTGACGCGGCTGCAAACATTTTAGCGGCCCATTACACGGAAAAACCGGTGGCAAAGCAACACTCGCGATCCACTAATGCGAATGGTTAACCGAGCACGAATTGAGAGATAATTCACACGTGCACATAAGGTGAGAACATAATTCAGCGACGCGACGCGCAAACCACCCGCGACTTTGAAAGCGGGCGGCCTACGTTCGCTATTAAAAGATATGTGATATACAACACACAGTGCGCATATAAAAAAAAAAAGCGTGGAGGCAGCACGGGATAAAATAAAAGGCTTCGCACACGGACAAAATGAAAGGGGTAATTGCGGTTGCGTTCACAAAAAGCTGGCTGTAAACTAAAAGAAGCTGTTAGCGCTAAGTCGTAGAATCTGAAAGGCGTTTAACATATAGCCGTTTCTATTTATTTGGCGCGACACTGCCCCCCCCCCCCCGGTACTGTGAACAATGAGCGCTCGCTTCGAGCCTCGTGTTTGCTGCTTCGAGTCCCTTGTCAGGGCGTTCTTTGGCTCTTTCCTTTACAGTTCTCGTTCTACTTGTAGTGGATGCGTTATGTTGCAATTGTTGCATGTTTCTCTAATCGTTTAGTAGTAGTGTAATTATTTGCATTCATTTCTTTGCTAAAAACATTGGAATACGATGGTGAGAATATCTCACTATGAGATTTATTGATCTATCTGTTAAATCATCTATTTAGGTTCGAAGATCAGGGGGTATATAGATAGTTTCGAAGATTGTTTCGTTTCGTTTTAAAGATCAGGATACTTAGATGGTAGATACATATCCATACCGTATGGTCCCAGCATAGAACAGGCCACCCCTTTCTTTCTCGTGGATGTCGTAAAAGGCGACTGAGGGAGAACGAGGGATGGGCAACAGCGTGCTTCTTAAAACATCTCCAAAGCCTAACTGCAGTTACCAATCCACCTCCCAAGCGTGGCAACTACCGGCAAAATCTCCAAAGGGGAAGCTCATGAGGCTTTAACTGTCCACTGCTGAAGTGGACAGTTAAAAATTTATAGGATAATTACCATGTGATACATATCAATGTATGTATCTACTATCTAAGTATGATAAATATATACTTTGGATGTATTATATTTCGAAAATTTTGCTAACTCGTGTGAATTCGGGTCGCAATGCTAGTAATAAATAAAGATATTAAATGTTTCAACTCGGCGCACTTCACTCCATCATAAATTGCTAAATTCATTGCATACCTTCTTGCTACTCTAGCGCCACACTGGATGTATTTGGAACTATTATTATATGTATTTACAGTTTACAGCTGAACACTTGCTACTGTTCCCTCCATACCTAACATGTATGTGTAATTAGTTGATGAACCTATCTCTATTTGCTAATTTTCATCAAAACCGGTTAAGTTATTTCATCCTGTTATAGTAACCAGTAACAGTATTGAAGTGCAGTATTAAATTGTCATTAGCAATAGATTTGGATTGAGATTGATGTTGGATTCAAGAGTTATACTACTGTTTGTTTGTTTGTTTGTTTATTGATTATTATTATAATTTAATTGTTTTTTATTTGTATACAATTATTATTTTCTTTTGTTTGTTTTCTTTTGATTTCTTTTGTTCTTGTTTTGTGCGCTACTGTGTGGGCCGCATGTTTCTTTGATTAAATTATTTCTTTCTTTCTTTCTTAACATTGTAATGCATATACACTCGTAACGGATTCCGCATGAATACGTGGACTCTTCTCTGGCGTTCCAGCGGGAATTTCTGAAGGCCCTTTCTTACGAATGTTTACATCACGTTAGTTCGGATTCCTTCAGACAGCTTTAGTAATTTAGTCGAGATTCACTAAATAATATGTGTAAATTCCCTATATATATATATATATATATATATATATATATATATATATATATATATATATATATATATATATATATATATATATACCACTGCGGCGGCAAACAAGCATACGGCCCACCTGATGGTAAGCGGTTACCGTAGCCTATGAACGCCTGCAATACCAATATATTATACCAAGAGTTGACTGGTGACTGCCACCAGGCATTAAGTCCACCTTGTAGACATTTTCTGATGTGTGCAAAAGTATATATATATATATATATATATATATATATATATATATATATATATATATATATGTGTATTGTATTTGGCATATTTTGGATTATAGTCTTGTAGTCTTTTGTCAAATCTACGTACAATGAACAAATGGGCATAAAGTAATAGAGTCCAACTGCCCCATTGCTAGCAATACACCCTAACTGTACCCTTACCCTAATAAATTCTTCGATTTACCAACTGACCTGCGTGCATAGCCATCCCTCACTGCATTTCCAGCGCCTGGTTAGCACAAGCGAGGTTACTATTACATTATCATGCCATAAAAAAAAAACAAGCAAGTCATCGTCATCATCAATACCCTGTAGAAGCAGCAGTGTGTCCTCTTCTTCCACAGATCTCTATCAGCCGCCACAGATGAGCCCATGCCTCTCTTATGCTACACTTCACAAACTTTGTCCCTACCTAATTTTCTTACTGAAACATAGTTGGTTAGTTAAAGGGAATTGAAGAGTACAGAAGACTCAACTGTATTGTTATTTTTCGTTTTTTTTTTTAGGTAACTTAGAATGGCAAATAATCTGATGGCCCATCTGATGGAAAGCGGTGCACGTTTACAGTACCGTAGGCATAAGAGATTATACTGTGTCGCCTGTATCTTTATGCGTTGCCATTTCTGAGGATTAGGATATTATATAATTTCATTACCATGTCCCACCCTTAGATTATAGAGATAGTGCATCAAGTCTCAAAAACGGATCAATTTTTTGTCAGCTAATTGTCCAATTAGCTGACTCGTTTTGTTTTTTTTTATCAGTACTCTATATTTTTTTTATCTAATAAGTAAAATGAGTATTGACACATTAAAAATATGCAGCATTTACAAGACAAAATAAATAAAGAAGTTATAATGTAATCACGCAGAATTGTATGAAAAAGTTGATCCGCTTTTCTAAAAGCATTTGTATGGATAGCATCTCTATTTACATAAATTAAGATGCCACCCTTCAAACCAAAGCACCGCCATGCAAACAATTGCTTCTTGAAAACACGAATGGGACAGAGGTACCCAAGCAGACTCGTTCCAACTGTAAGTAAATTTCCTAAAAAACATTAAGCAGACATAGCATTCCCAATTAAGCAAGCACCAGATATTTTTATTAGCTAGCAATCATTTTTAATTCAAATACATTCAAATTTGCATCTAATATCAATATTTCATTTATTTCTTATAATATTAACAGTATGTTAATTTTGATGTATGACTTATTCATTTTACAAGATAAAAATTTTATTTATATGTTACATTTTCATATTTAAAATCCTGAATAATGCTGAATATTATTGTGATTATTTCTTGTAATTGTTTATATTTTATAATAAGTTTACTATTGCAATCTTTTGGAGGAAACAATAAAGAGTATCTATCTATCTATCTAATATTATGGTTTTCGGAGAGTCCGCGTGGAGGTCGACCTGACGGGGTATGTTAATACCAAACGCCTAATACTATCAATTCCTTCTTTCATTAGGTCTGACAGATACAGAATATAAGCATAATATCTCTAAATTAGGGAATCAACAAGGACCTATGTAGCTTTACATTATATAGAGCATAGAGCCTCAAAAACGGTTCAACTTTTTGTCAGCTAATTGTCAAATTAACTGACTAGTTTTTTTTTTTTTTTTTTTATCAGTGTTCTATAGAACAAAAAAGTAAAGTATATATACTTATTCATAAAATGTATCTTGACGTATCTATATTTAATTCTTTTATAAATAAAATGAGTTTTTACGTATTAAAAAGACGCAAATATTCTAAAACCAAAATAAATATATGTTAGAAGCTACAAAAGAATCACTTATAACTATCACGCAAAATTGTATGAAAAAGTTGACCCGCTTTTCTCGAAATATTTGTATGGAGACATTCATATCTATATAATTTAAGCATTCTATATAAATAAAAGTCAAAAACTGTTATTTGGAAAATACATTTGAGAACGGTTGAACTAATTTATAAATTGTACTAACGTTCGAACTTAACCTATTGGACATTTGAGGAAAAAATATTATGTATAATAATAAATTAAAACTAGTCTTTGGCACGACAGACGTTCTCAAACGGCTGGACGTATTATATGTATTCTTCTAATATATTTCGAACAAAGTCCTATAAAGTTTTGAACAATAAAAATAATTAGAATTCGGACATTCATCGGGTACCCTCGAGATCTGACAGCAAAACACGTGACTTTTCTGAGATATTTATTCAAAAAGAAAATGACAAGCAAAATGATTATGGACATGTACAATAACAATATATTGTGCAAGTCCAGCGTGGCGATCACGTCGCAACCAGGACCATTTGATCAGTTCTGATCCTCGTCGCGGCGCATCTGATATTCGTTTAACAAATCTGTATACATCATGATTTTTGTAAAAAGTTCGTTTACCTGATCCTCCTGCAGGAATTTTCTAGCCGAACGCAGTATACGTATTAATAAACAAATTTTTACCTGAAACAATAATATTACATTCATTAGTTACACAGTCACTCGAACACTTAACACGTGTCTAAGGACCTAATAAAATCAACACATACAATCCTAACTGGTCGCTATCATTTTTGGGGGGGGGGGGAGGAAGGGGTTTGTTAATAATGCGCACTACCAGTCTCATTGTTAGCAACATGCCCAAAAAGGTCAACCTCCACGTGGTCCCCCCTGAAAACCATCGTGCTGAATTTCAAGTGAATTCATCACGATGGGCTAATTGACCTGCTTTTATATTCTCACCTATCATCTCTCACTGGTGCCCCGCCAGTGTATACTGTTAGCGCAGGCGGGGTTACCATTCCATTATCATTGATAAAAAAAGATCTAGTCGCTATCTGTACATTTTTTTTTATACAACTTAGAATGGCAAACAAGCTGACGGCCCACCTAATGGAAAGTGGTAACCGTTACCTTTAGACATGAGCAGTACCATGGACATAACTAGCATCGTCTATAAAATAACCGATCAATTGAATTGGCTGAAACATATTTTATTATATGTACTGATTTTGGAAAATTTTGTCTACCCGTGCGAAGCCTGAGCGGATCGCTAGTAAATAATATAATTAAATTAATGAGAAAAAAAAAATTTAATGAGATTAAAATTATATAGATTGGCTTAAACAATAAGAACACAGCAGTAAGAATTAGAGTATAATGTAAATAAGTTATTTATTTACATGTAAATACATAAAAAAAAACACAAAGGTACATAAAAAAAGAAAAATTAATACATATTTAATGTCTTGTCAAGATATGCGAATACACAATAGATATTTTCGTATCATAATTCACCGTTGCCCGTAGAGCAGCTTGCTTGCTGGCTGAAGATTGGACGGGCTCTATGTAATTAGACCAATTTAAATCTTAATTAATATTAATTGTCCGTCGTCGGAACGAATCTGTCGTATAAAGACTAGCGAGGAAAAAACTCCTAATGGACACCTTACGTTCTATTTAATTAACAATATTAAATGGCGGCGGGGGGGAATTTTAATTTTTTGAATTTCGAACGAGACTCCCGTCCGGCCGGAGCGTCGCGGTGTCGCCGCCTTTGCAACATTGTAGCGTGGTCGGGAGCGTGCGTCGCGTTCCACAGACGCGACGTAGGCCCCAGACTTTTTTACTCGACTATACAGTAAAATAATATGTGTGTTTTATCCTCGCCGAGTTCATTGTTGCCGCTTCAATACGATTCCCTGCTACTTCTCTTAATCCGGATGTTAACATTTATTATTCTATTAAATTATAAATCATCCTAATGGAACGTATCTATGCGTGCGTGGCATGTGCCATGTGGATGCGCCATCTATTCTTTGTGTATCTTGATTTGAATGACATTTAGTATACGTGTATAATATATTCAAACTTACAACATATTTTATACGCTTGTTCACGTGGGTGAAGTCGCGGGACACGGCTAGTATTTCAGTAACGATACTGACGGTTTGTAATACGAACAAATTTAAATACAAGCCGCTAATTTCTCAATGTAAATTTTTTTATGCATCTTAGAATGGCAAAACACCCTAAGGCTTATGTTCAGCAATGAATGAAAAGCTGATCTCTAAAGCTTGCCTGCGGTTGCCAATCCGCCAAGCGTGGCAACTACTGGCAAAACACCCCAAGGGCAGACTTATGTACAGCAATGGATGAAAGGCTGACATGATGAATTAAATAAGGATACAGCATGGTGGTGGTCTTTTCATAGAGGGAACCACACAAATCCAAGGGGGAAAAGGATTGTTAGCAATGGAGTTTGACAATACCATTGCTAGCAATATGCCCTATTAGGTCGACCTCCACGTGGTTCCCCCTGGAAACAATCGTGAACATTTCTTGTTGAATTCGACGCGATGGACTAACTGACCTGCTTCATCCTCACCTATCATCCTTCACTGGTGCCCCGCCAGTGTATACCGATAGCGCGGGTGGGGTTACCATTCCATTATCATCCATTAAAAAAAACCACACAAATCCTCTATCACGCACAAATAAACAAAAAAAAAAAAACAATACCTCACTATATTTTTCTAATATGACAATAAAAAGAGTCCATTCCCTACGATAAAGGTTTTGCACACAAAATGTATGATAATATATTTTTATTTCCCTATAAATATTAATGAGATTGCCCCGCCTAATATAAATGTATTTATGTAAACCATTTTTTACCGTGCAAGCACACTTAATATTGATATTTAATATACTCCACATTGAGTATATTTTAGAGTGACACGAGCCGGCACGTATAAAATAGGTATTTGTAGGAAGCGCGGTACCTAATTAACGTCGCAACAGGAGTAAGTGGCAACTGTGTTTAGCAATAAAAATACATGGAACAAATAATAAACAATAGTGAAAACTGATACAAGAGTTATTTTGTTCTCTTCCCGCGATTCTAAAATAATGTTAGCCTTATTAATTACTTTTAGCCGCGACTTTGTTCGCGTGACGGGAATATTTTCTTGTTTTATTTCGGAATATATCCTTCTTCATCCCGTACCAGTATATACCAGATTTCTGAATCTATGGTTTTTTTATGGGTGAAAATGGTATGGTAGCCCCGCCTGCGCTAACGGGATACGCTGGCGGAGCACCAGTGAAGGGTGACAGATGTGAATGAAAACAGATCAGTTAGCCCATCATGATGAATTCATCAGGAATTAACCATGATAGTTTCCAGGGGGAACCGCGAGGAGTTCGACCTGGTTGGGTATATTGCTAGCAATGGGATTCTCAGTCACCATTACTAACAATCCCTTTCCTCCCGGTTAGGTTAGGTTAGGTACTTTTAACTGTTATTTTAGTCAAAAATATAACTAAAGAATACTAAAGAATACTAAAGAATACGGTAAAAAGTACTTTTGACTAATTTTCCTAGTCAAGTCGAGTACTTCTGACTGGTTAAGTTTTGACTACAATACATATATATCATATATTATATATTTATATACCATAATTTTTGAGTTGTGAATTTAAAGGTAACCAGGTACGATGACTGAAAATCATCACTTAACAACGCGCGTACCATCATCCGGAACATATCCTTGATTGTCAATAATCATCGTCATATCAGCTGTGAACTGTTCATTACTGAGCACAGACCACCCCCATAAGAGGAGGGATGGACATTGCCAACTTATACGTAATTGAAAACAATACCGTAATATTGCATCGAGCTCTTCGCCTACATCATTTTAAGTTATTTTACAAAACCTCTCTTGTTTCATAAACACACAAGTCACCAGAGGGAGACTGTACAAAAGTCGTTTGCTTGGGTACCTTTGTCTCATTGTGTTTCAACCGTGAAGCAGTTGTGTTTGCATGGCTGTATTTCGGTTTGAAGGGTGGGATATGACGTGAATTTACTAGGTACAGAGGAATAACACCTGAGTCCTCAGGAATGGCAACGCCTGGGGGTATCATGGGCGAAACAGTATACTCTATTATGTCCATGGTACTGCTCATGTTTATAGACGACGGTTACCACTTTGCATCAGGTCGGGCCGTCAGCTTGTTTGCCATTCTAAGTAGTATAAAAAAAAATAAGGTTGAAGGTGTCGGAAACTGTCCAATTTTTTACATTGTAACCAAGTCTACAATGTATAAATACTTAAAATACGATCATAATCAAGACAGTAACCGGCGGATGGAGTTCGCGAAACGGATATTCAAATTTTTCAAATAATACCAATAACTAGTTGATCAGTTACGCCCACCCCACCGCTCCCCGCTACCTACCCCGCTAATCTGCTAGGGTTGTCACTCGCACACTTGCTAACCTATTTTCACAATGGATTTTTATTCTCCTTTAAATTAATCCGTTGAAAAAGCTATTTAGGACGTCATTTGAAGAACGTTTGTACAGATTTATATGTAAATTGAAGTAGAGCGGACGTTTAAAAGTGTACTTTTCAACATTTTCCTGTTCAACGATTTGGGGGCCGGTTAAAATAACACCATTATATTCAGTTTTAAATCTTCTTTTTATTTGATCCACTTTGTCAATGAATGAATGTTAAATTATTGTAGCATTCAGTGGCAAACATTTTACGTAATCTAATGAATTGTTTATATAAATATAATTTTTTTTTTCTATATGTATTTGACAAAAGTTAAAGCGAACTAGAACCGTGGAGCAGTTGTGTTTGCATGGCTGTATTTCGGTTTGAAGGATGGGATGAGGCAGTGAATTTACAGGGCACAGTGGGATAACATCTGAGTCCTCAGGAAATGGGTGAAACAGTATACTCTGTTATATCCATGGTACTGCTCATGTCTATAGGCGACGGTGACCGTTTTCCATCAGGTGGGCCGTCAGCTTGTTAGCCATTCTAAGTTGTATAAAAAAAAGGTGAGTTCTTGACGTCTATCTCATATCTTAACAATTGTAAAATACTATGTAATATCCTGTGTATCGTAAGAGACTAAAGGAATTTGATGGTCGAGGGATGAGCAGCAACGTCTCTCTTAAAACATCACCAAAAACTAACTGCGGTTGCCAACCTGCCTAAAACCTGCAAAGCGTGGCAAAACCCTCCAAGGGGAGGCCTAAGATATCACCATCATTATGTAATACTTTAGTACGACACAACAGTCTTGTATAATTAAATTCAGGGTCATTGAACTTAGGGTATTAAAAATGTCAACCTGAAGTCAACCCTTCCAGAGGCGGTGAGCAGGCCGCGTTATTATTTTTAATTTACACCTAGTCGTATGTTTTTATTATTCGGCATGCACCTGTACGGCTACGAGTGGTCTGCGGTGCGGTAACAATGTTGGTTTAATACAGGACTTCGACGACAGATGTCACTTTTTTGCTACAATAACGGTATGCCACTTAAAGGGTAAGACAATGTTGTTAACTTCAAATGTGTGAGGCGACGCACACATACGCATCCGCGGTGTTTAAGGCTGCCATTTCATTGGAAGCTAAGCAGTGGAAATGTGATAATTTT